AAAATGTGTGTTCACATAAAAACTTGTGCAAGAATGTTCATAGCAGCAGTATTCATAATATCCAAAAGATGGAAACAACCAAAATGTCTATCAAATGATTAATGTTTGAGCAAAATGTGTATATTCATACAATTCAATATCATTCAGCTAAAAGGGAATGAAATGACAATATACGCTACATGGATGAACCTTAAAAACATTATAATAGGTGAAAGAACAAAAGCCCACATATAACAGTCAATTCCATTTGTATGAAGAGTCCAGAATAAGTAAATCTATAGAGACAGAAAGTAGATTTGTGGTTTCTGAGGGCTGGTGGGAGAGGATAATGGGTGGTGACTATTTAATGAGTACAGGTTTCTTTTTGAGGTGATGAGAATATTCTAAAATTAGATTGTAGTGATGGTTGCACTTTAAATGGATGGATTGTGTTGTATGTGAATTATACCTCAATAAAATTCTGACCAAAAACACCACTTTTTAAAAAGATATTGAAGGATATTATGGGAAAGCAAGGGTCAGTATATTCAATATCCATTTATACATCAGTGCTTAGGCCAGTGAAATTCTCAGCAAATATTTTCAAGGGGTGGGAGATTTTTAGCTTTTTAAATTTTGCCAGTTTTGGAAGCCCAACCCCACTCAAAGGGCAGCACCTTTTCTATGAATTGTGAATTGACTCAGTCTTTGTTGGAAAACGGCTGTGTTCCATACTGACTCTTAAATAATAGTTGAGCAGTGTATAGAATTAGAGATTCACAGTTTAGCTGCTCAAGTGCTGTGTATATATTCCACTGAAGCTTGCCTATATCTCTTCTTACTCTGCCACATCCACCATGGAGGGATCAAGAGCTTATTGGTCTGCCATTAAGATCCCTCTTCCTTTTTCTCCCCCTGGGATTTCCCATTGTTTCAGGCTCAGCCATGAGATTTTTTCCCCACACTTTATTCAACAAGTTTATTATGAGAGAAACCACTCCAAATTATCTCTATCAAGTTGCTTAAATCTGAAGTGTCTGGTGCCGTTTTAATGTATCACTCACCCCAATGTTAGAACTAGTATCACTTTCAAGGGGTGAAGGGGAACTTTGGAAGGCAGGGGCATGGAATATCTAAATGATTGATCATTTTCTTCCTTATCCACTTCCCCCATTTCCTGAGAGAGAAGTAACAAAGAGGGAAAAACAAGTTCTGAGAAAGAAGAGACAGCTCTTGGTATAACCACAAAAGTCCCTTCCATTTTCAGAGTCCTATACCTTTCCACATATTCCTGAGCCCAAGATGTATTTTTTTTTTCAGGCCAGAGCTCGGAAGAGAGACTGCTCCACTCTGGGAATGCAGCTAACACCTGGACAGAACCTCCTGGGCTCAATAACATCCCACAATGATTCATTCTTTTCTTTGAGTATTAAAGACTTTCTCCAAATATCTATAGGAGGATTCACATCTGGATCTAAGATAGGGAAGGAAGGAAGCAGGGCTCTTTTTGTTCAGGCCTCAGACTTTATGAGCTTCAAATGTTGGCCACTGTTGGGTGGCAAATTTGTTCAAGGGAACAGGGTAAATCTTCACAGTGGCCATCTGATTTTGAATAATGAAGCCATGTATATATAGTAGAATGGTTGCATGTGCATTTGGTGGGGGTGGGGGATTGGGTTCTGGGGTCAGTCTGCACATGTTCAAATCCCACCTCTACTAGTTTTTAGCTCTGTAGCCTTGTGCCAGTTACTTAACATTTCCGTGCCACAGGTTTTTGGTCTATAAAATAAGATTAATAAGAGCATAGCTTCTCACTGCTGTTTTTAAGATTACATGGGATGATCCAGATAAAGCAGTCCAGAACTTGAGCCCCTGGTAAGTACTCCACAGATGCTAATATTAAACTGTGGCTTTTGCCAGTCTTCAATCAATGATTTACTTTTAGATCTTCCCCCATAGTTTAAATAGAATCCCTGAAGAGAGTGAATGCTGAATATGTCCCAACTAGTCCTATCCCACCCACTTCCTAACCTCCTCAGGGCTGAGCTTAGGTTTACATATAATAACAAGATTTTATAATTGTACATCTTGCATTTGATTTTTCTAAACAGTTTTACAACCTTTATCTACGAAGCTGTGAGGTTAGCAGGATGGTGATGATTATCCCCATTTTGGCGATGAGGAAACGGAGGTCCTTAAAGGTAAAGTGGCCTATTTAGAACTACCCAGCTTGTCAGAGGGAGAGACAAAGGCACTCGAAGTCAGATCTTCTTCTCCAGTGGTCATTTCAACCTCTTACAATATCTATTTTCCTATAACTCCTCCATTAGATCACAAGGGATCAAGCAGCCTGCTTCCCTGCCCCATAACTGTTCAAGATGCACAATTTTCAGACCAGGTGGGAAGGAAGAAAACACATGATCCACACAAAAATATCTCTCTATCCTGTGAGGTAGGGCAACTTATTTTATATTTAATATTCTGGTTGGAGAATGAGGTTCACAGTGCCTTAAGCCTATTGGAAAAAACGAGGAGAAAAAGTCCTGTATTTGATCTGATCAAACTAGTCCAGTGTAGTGGGATCTCGGCTGAGCCCAAAATGAGACTCATTTTGTCTGGAAAGTGTGTCTGGAAACTGTCTGAAACATCGGTCATTCATTGGCAGCCTGAGCCTGTCCTTGCATCAAGAAAGTTGTCTTTAAGAGGTTTTATATGCTATCAGTCCCTGAAGGGCAGAGACAGAGATCAAGTGGTGGGTGAAAGGATGGCAGAAGGATGGAGGAACAGGACAGGGTGATATTTTCCTTCCATCTGGGCTGCAAAAACTGGGCGTGTGGAGAAAGTTCTTGGCATCTGTTCACTAGGAGGATAGTGTTTTTGAAGAGATCTGTGGACCTAAGTTGCCTTAGGGGCAGGGATAGAGACAAGGTAGAAGGATTTGGAAATCAGAGCCAAAGATTGGGTTTGAATAGAGGATTTGATGGCTTTTGTTCTCCAGACACAGGAACCAAGTCTGAAATTCTGAGTTGGGGCAATGGGAGCAGCTGGGGTGGGAGGGGAGAGGTTGCTACAGGAAAAAACTGAAGCCATTCTTCCCACACAAGCCTCACTGAGATACAGGATAGAAGTAATGTTATTTCGAAGTGACAAAGTGTGGCACAGAATAGAGAGGGGAATTACTACCCCACCCACCGCATTCCATGACCCTAAATCCCTACCCCTCCAACTCTCCACCCCCATTATGAACCCATCAGTGGCTTTAGCCAAAGCTGCCTGAAGAGAGGGCAGCTCCATTCAGGCCCATTTTGGATTTGCAGAATCCATGTCACACCCCAACAGGTCCTCTGTGTTCCCTCAGCCAGAGGAACCCATCAGCAGCTGAGGAAGGGAAAAGAGGCTGCCCTCACTTGGCAATGTGAGCAGTTGACCTCCACAAGGCAGTATAGGAAGAAAAGAACAACAGGAGAGGACTGTCTCAGAATATGGGAAACTGCTGGGGTCTTCCACAAATAACTGGAGTAAAGCTTCAAAGGGTTGAGATCCTAGAACATATAGGTGGGGCAGGGGTCAGTTTTTACTGTTTATGACACTATTTTCACCCATGGTCCAGTGAGGCCTGGAGAAACTCGAAACACCATTTTACGGCAGACAAAATAGTTTCAAGTACTTGGGCATATGATGGCTCAACTCCATGTAGATACTGAGTGGCTCTCGAAACATTTCTAAATATAACCTTTGGGGTGGGTAGAGGAGCAGGGACTGAGCTCTAGCAGGGTATAAGTAAGCTTCATTTATTCCATTTATCTCTAGTTATGTTAGCTTTAAGGAGTGGAGAGGCAAAAGCAAAGGGAAGAAGAAAGTCTAAAGAGAAAAACAAAGAAAGAATATTATTCTTCTCCATTGTCACAGGTATAAAATAATCAGTTTTATTTTTAAAGACTTTTTCCTTCCCATATTTTCCAGATACAATTTGTGATTCTGTATTATCAATTTCTTTTTCAGTAGAAAATAAAGCCAACAGTGCTTTTCCAAGCTAAGAGCAGCCCTGGCTGTACACAGACATCGGGAGTTCATTAGGGCCTGGACTAGGCCAGGTATGAGCCAACAAGGCCAGAGAGGAGGGGAAAGCCGGGTCCCCAGAGGGCCAACTGCCACCCTGCCTGAAATTTGAGTTTCCCAGCTTATTGCACCCTCTTTTTCCCAACACAACAGCACTGGTGATTGATGCAGCTGCTGGCAGCCACAGAGCCAGATTCTTATCTATATTACCATGGGGCTACCAATTTGTTTGCCAATCTTTGTTTTTTTTTTTTTTTTTCTTTCTTAGAATCATTTTCCTCTTCCTAGAATCAGACCCAATGTTTCGGGTAATGGAACAGTGGACTTGAGTCCTCAGAGGGGGGTTGGTCTCCATCTCTCTTTTGCTATCTCTACAGCTATAGCCCTAGATTGAGTCATCTGGTTGAGTCATTCACCTGTACTATTGCAGTAGGTAGTTCATCACTACTTTCTGATCCCTTCCCCATCCTGCCTCTAAACTGTTACCAAGTCAGTATTCTAAAATATGTTTCTAATCATGTCTACCCTACTGTTTGTAACAGATATTTGAGTAACCCAATTACATGGACTATTATTGAATAAATAAATTGACCTTGTTAGTATCAAATGCTCCATCATCCTGATTTTTTGCCTTCATAACCTTCACCACAATTTCAACCTATCTTTCTTATATACTTTCTTGTTTATTGTCTGTCTTCTCCTTCCATTGGAGTAAAGTGTTCATTCAATGAGAGTTCTTATCTGTCTGTCCCCAAAACAGTGCCTGGCACATGTTAGATAGTAAATATTAACTGAATGAAAGACTCAATAAATCAAATTCTGTTAGCTACAGTTAAATTTTTTCATAAATGAAGTTTATTTACTTTTACGATAACAAATGTATTACATGCTTACTGTGGAAAATTTGGAAAGTACAGAGAAGTAGAAAAAAGAAAATAAAAACACCCATAATCCCACCACCTGAAGGCAAACACTGTTCACACTATGTTCCAACTATCTATGTCTGTTAAAAGACCAAGACCCTTATCAAGAGTGCTGGCCATGAAGCACAACAGCTAAGGGGAGTGAGAGCAACTAACAACTGAGGAGGTCACCCAGAGGTAAGAGCTAGAGATTTGACACTGAAGGACAAGACAATGACCACACACAACAGATCAAGAGGTCAGAAGTTGACAATGCAAGAACAAGTTGGGTTATGGCAAGAATGTAGAGAGATGGTACTTGTCAAGAGTTTAGTGCAGTACCTGTCACAGAGTATATAGTTGATAAATGTTAGCCATTACTATGATTATTATAATGGATCAAAACGAATGGTTCAAGATGGAGACTATAAACAGGGCAAGGATCCTGGAGAACCATTTTAGATATTATGATTTGGGGCATACAAGGGCAGGTCTACTAGGTGAAGAGGGTGGTATAGGAGTGGGCATCAATCTCCTTATAGGCTCTCCTGCCAGGTGAAATGGATACCAGGGCATCCTCAAGTTTGCCTGATGACACATGGCAAGACACTCTAAAGTGTTTTTGAGGTAGGAAATGGTTTCCCCTGCCTAGACATCACCCTGGACCAAGAACTAAAACTGGCCTTAATGGTAATGGGAGTTCAAAACCTCATACATTACTCTTGAAGTCCACACTCTGTCAAGACAGGTCACAGGCATATGGGGTGAAAGAGAAGGTTATGTCAGCCAAGTGGAAGATAGAGTAGGATGTGCCTGGAAGGGGAGGCTGAAGGGGAAAGGCCACAAGGTTTATGATGTAATTGAATGGAATGGGTCCAGGAACCAGTCCTCGAGTTAGCAGCCAAGTTAGAAATCACAGAAGAATCCAGGGAACATTACTTGTCAGTGGGGGCCTTCTGATGGCCTGTGCTCTGTCGAAGGTGGTCATGCAGACTTTCTTGGGGGTCTCCATGCTCTTTCAGGTAGTAACAGCGTTTGGGAACATGCTGGTGCTGGGAATGAGAAAAACAGAAAAAAAAACAGCAGAGGTGAGAGCCACACTTATTGTGACAAGGGGTGTTCTTCCTGGATAATTTCAGTAACTTAGCAGATCAAAGAACTTGGCTAATTACCTTACTTGTAGAAAGTGTGACCAAGGACTAGGGTAGCCAAATTCCCTAGTGACCTGGGTCCATAGCACAGTGGCTGCAGGTGAGATCCAGCCCCCAAAAGATGACCCCTCCCTTAGAATTAGACTTGGAATAAGTGGAGAGTTGGGATTGAGCCCAGCTGGCTCCCCCTAATCAGAAGACTTAGTCCTTTAACCATTCTAGGCCTTCAATAACTTGGGCATGGCATTGCTCCTCAAAGTGGTTAATATACCCAAAATAATTGCATTAGCTAGGCTTGCTGATGAAACTCCAGGTCGGGGGTTATAGTCTAGGAGCTCAATGCCTCCCCCTTGCTTCTTCCTTATTCTACTCAAAGGAGCAGGGTGTATTCCCCATCATTTTTCTGTTCAAAAACCTTGAGTGTATTTCTCCATCATTACCTCCTCAGTCTGCTGATGAGAGTTCAGTTCATTCGCCATTGCCTCCTCATTATTCCGCTTACAGGCTGATGGAAAAACCTGGCTTGAGCTTCCCAGGGAATCCTTCTCTTCAGCCAGCTGGCACTCAGTGTAGAGAGACCTGTCTATCAGCTCCTTTAGGCTGCCGGCCACCTTCAGGAAGATCCGGCCCATTTTGGTGGTAACAGCTTCTGAGAGTCCTTCCAGAAACCTGGTCCGTAGAATGGCATCAGACCAAGACAAATGTCGGGCCAGCAGCAGGAAGTCAGTGGCATACTGCCTGACTGACTTCTGGCCCTGCTTGGGATGGCAAAGAACAGCACTAAGGATGTCTATCTCAGAGAGGGAGTCATATAAGCCCTGTGATCTTCTTAGGAACATTTTATTTTCATCTGAGAGGGGTTTTCCTACCTCCATTTGCAAAATGGACCACCTTTCTGCTGCCCCCAGATGAAGAGACACCAGAAATGCCATTTTCTCTGAATCGTCCAAAAATCCCTTCATTTGCTTCTCCTCATCAATCTCCATCTCCTCCTCTGCAGAGCATGAACCCCGGGCTGCTTCCTGCTCTTCTAAGAGGTAACAGAGTGCTGGAGTCAACATGCCGAAGGATGGAACTTCCTTTGGTGGTGGGTTCATTGTTTCAGGGGTTGTGGCAGTCACTTGTGGTGTGGACTTTGATCTAGAGGCTGTGATGTTGATATGAGAGGCAGATGTTTCTCCAGAGTCTGTGGCTTTGATGTCTAGGGCAGACATCATTCCAGAGGCTGCAGCTGCCATTTGTGGTGTAGACATGGCTCCTGGGGCTGGGACCCTCATTAGCGATGTGGAAATCCCTCCACAGGCTGTGGCTGTCATTTGTGGCATGGACATTGCTCCGGAGGGTGTGGCTCTCATAAGCGGTGTGGACATTGCTATAGAACCTGAGGCTCTCATTGGTGGTGCAGGTAACCCTCCGGAAGTTGAGAAAGTTGTCTGTGGTAAGGACATAGATCCAGAACTTGCGAGTCTTGTTTGCAGTGCTGACATTGCTCCAGAGGGCATGTTTTTAATTAGTGGCGTAGACATATCTCCAGAAGCCATGGCTGACATCAATGGCATGGGCATTGTTCCAGAAGCTGTGGCTGTCATAAATGGTTTGGACATCCCTCTAGAGCCCATGGCTGTTGTTTGTGCAGTGGACATCTTTCTGGAGGCTGGAGCTCTCATTAACTCTGTGGACACGTCTTCAGAAATTGAGGGTCTCCTTAGTGATGTGGACATAATTCCAGGGTCTGAAGCCCCTAATAGTGGCGGGCATATCACTCCAGAGGCTGAGGTGTGAATTGATAGTGTGCACATCTCTCCAGAAGCCATGGGCATTATTTGTGGTGTGGATGTTGCTCCAGATGTTGGGGTTTTCATCAGTGGCATGGACACCCCTCCAGAGGCCTTGGCTGTCATTTGAGGCATGGACATTACTCCAGAGGCTGTGGATCTCATGAGCGATGTGGACATGGCTCCAGAGACTGGAGCCCTCATTTGTGGTATGGACACCCCTCTGGAGACTGTGGCTGTCATTTGTGGTGTAGACATTGCTCCATAAGCTAGGGGTCTCAGAGGTGTGACTATCTCTCCAGAAGCTGGGTGTCTCATTAGTGGTGGGGACATTTCTCCAGAGGATGAAGCTCTTCTGAGCAGAGGGGTCATCTCTCTAGGGTCTGAGGCTCTCATTAGTGGTATAGAAACTGTCCCAGAGGCTGGGGCTCTCATTTTAGGTGTGGACATCATTTCAGAGGCTGGGGCTTGCCTCGGCAATGGGGACACTCCTTCAGAGGTCATAGATCTCATGAGTGACATGGACATCCCTCCTCCAGAGTCTTGGGTGTTCATCGGCTGCCTAGGCATCTTTCCAGAGGCTGTGGCTCTCATTACTGCTGTGGGCATTTCTCCAGGGACTGGGGCTTTCATTGGAGGTGTGGATATAGTTCCAGAGGCTGAGGCTGTCATTTGTGGTGTGGACATGTCTCCAGAGGCATGGGCTCTCATTAGTGGTATGGGCATCACTGCAGAGGCAGTGTCTGTCATCTGTGGCATGGACATGTTTCCAGAAGCTGTGTCTTTCATTAGTATCGTGGATATCTCTCCAGAAGCTGCAGTTGTCATTTGCTGTATGAACATTGCTTCCGAGGATTTGGATGTTGTTAGTGGCTTAGACAATGCTTCTGAGGCCATAGCTCTCATTTGTGGCATGGACATCACTCTTGAGGCTGTGTCTCTTGTTAATAGTGTGGACATTACTCCAGAGGCTTTGGCTGTAATCAGTGGGGTGGGTATTGCCTCAGAGGCTGGGGCTCTCGTTTGTGGTACAGCTGTCACTCCTGAGGCTGTGGCTCTTCTTTGTGACATGGGCATTGCTTCAGAGAGAGGCGCTTTCATTTGTAGTATGGGCATTGACTCAGAAGCTGAGGCTGTCACTTGTGGCATGGGCATTGTTTCAGAAGCTGAGGCAGTAAATGGCTGTGCGGACATTGCTCCAGAATCTGGAGCTCTCCTTAGCAGTGTAGGCATCATTCCAGAAGCTGGGACTTTTATTTGTGGTGTGGACATTGCCCCATTGGCTGTAGTTTTCATAAAGCCTGTGGACGTTGCTTGAGAAGTTCTAGCCATTGCTACCTGTGTGGACATCACTGTAGAGGCTGCAGTTGACATCTGCTCCATGGACATCGTTCCAGAAGTTGTGACTGTCATCAGTTGGGTAGACAATGCTCCAGAGGTTGAGACTGTCTTTAGCAATGTAGACACATTTCCAGAGCCTGGGGCTCTCATTCGTGATGTGGACATTGCTCCAGAGTCTGAGGCTCTCACCGGCAGTGTGGATACCCCACCAGAGGCTGTTGCTCTTATCTTTGGAGTAGACATGATTTCAGAGTCTAGATTTTGTGTTAAGTGTGGATACAACACTCCAGAGCTTTGAGATGGCATCAGCTGGGTAGGCATCACTCCAGATGTTAAGGCTGTCATTAGCAGTGGGGACATTGCTTCAGCATCTTGGGCTGGCTTTGTCAGTGTGAACATTTCTCCAGCATCTGGACCTGACAGGAGTGTTGTGGACATTGCTCCAGAGCCTGGAGTTGACATTGGCAGCGAGGACACTACTCCAGAGTCTGGACCTAACATTAGTTGGGTGGACATTTCCCCAGGGTCTTGGGTGCTTGTTGGATGGGTTGATGTTGCTCCAGAAGCTAGGGCTGACATTATCAGTGAGGATACAGCTTCAGCATCTGTGCCTGACATTAACAGTGAAGATATCTCTCCAGAGGCCAGGGCAGTCATTAGAACTTTGGACATTGCTTCAGTGTCTTCATCTGTAATTTGCAATGGTGACATTGCTTCAGAGCCTGGAGCTGATACTGGCTGTGTGGACATTACTCCAGGGTTTATATCTGGCATTAGGAGTGGGGATATCTCTCCAGGATCTTGGGTTAGCATCAATGGTGTAGACATCGCTTCAGAGGTTGGAGTGTTCATTATAGGTGCAGACATCACTCCAGAGGATGGAATTGACATTGACAATGGTGATACCTCTGCAGAATCTGGTGCTGCCATTAGTGCTGTGGACATTGTTCCAAAGTCAGGAATTGTCATCATCCCTGGGGACATTAGTCCATAGTCCGAAGTAGACAGCAATGGAGACAGTGGTCCAGAATCTGAGGCTGGCATTAGCAATGGGGACAGGGCCCCAGAGTCTGAGGTTGGCATTAGCAATGGGGACAACGCCTCCGAATCTGAAGCTGGCATTAGCAACGGGGACAGTTCCCCAGAGTTGGAGGCTGGCATCAGTGATGGGGACAATTCTCCAGAGTCTGGTACTCCCATAAGAGATGCGGACATGGTGTCAAAGTCTGGGGATGTTATTAGCTGTGTGGATATTCCTCCAGGGTCTGATGCTGAAGTTGAGACTATAGGCTGTACACGAGAATGCAGAATTTGGACCTCTTCTCTGGTCTCTATCATTGGTCCAGAGAAAGTCGTCCCACTATTTGGGGGGTCATTTTCTTCCCTCAGCAATTTTTTGAATCTCAGTGAATGTAAGGGTATTGACATATCTGCCATGGCCACAGGATAGTATGGAGAATGCACCTAAAATGATGATATCAGTGGTCCTACTGAAGCTCAGGGGCAAGAAAATCTGTAAACAAGAAACAATTTTAGCAGTCAAAAGTCAATATAAGAAAGATTGGGAGACAAACATATGATTCATGATGGAGACCTTTTGTATGCATTGCCAGCTATGTGGAATCACAGATGGGGCTATCGGGTGAAAGAAGATAGGCAACAATGAACAAATTTGAAGCTGGAGCAAATATCCCTTCCATTCCTGTTCTTTTCAAACCAAACCACTCAGTCACACAGCACAGCTTCTCAGTTTATAAATACTTAAAATGACAGCAACCTCAGCTACCAGGAGCTTGGGCAGTCCTGTATCAAGTGAAGCAGCAGCACCACCTTATGGAAAACTGTGAGAAGTGCAGGTTCCTGAGCTATGTTTTGTTCCACAACATTCACAAGCCAGCCAAGTTACTGGCAGGCCTAGATGAAAAGCCCTTTGCTCCAGAAAAAAATCATTGGTTTCTGGGGCTCATTGAGTCTTGCCAGTGGTTTAGTCCCAATTTTACAACTCTGATGTCCCTGAATGTCTTCCTCAAGAAAAGGAAGGCATTTATCAGATCAATGACTGGGAGCAGCATTCAATGAACTGAAAAGTCTGCTTGTTATCATATCATTGTTCTTTATAACAAAAACAACCACTACTACTACCACTTATTGCTCACTTAGTATGCTCCAGACACTAAACTTTAGGTAACTGTATGCAACTTTAAACTGTCTATAATATACAAGGATTTGCAAGCATTATTCCATTTGAATCTTAACAATACCGTATACAATAGATAGTGTTATTATTCCAATTTTACCAGCTTTCTCATATTAGCCAGAGTTGAGGCTAAAATAGGGTCACTGAAACAATAAAAACTGTATGTCTTTGACTATCACCTCTCCTTGGGTTTGCCTAGCTTTCAGCATCCCTAAGGCTGTATTCAATTATCTCTCTGACATCTTAGACCATGGCTCACTTGAAGCCCACTCTATAGCATATACTAATCTCAAGTTTCTCTGATGACATTTGGGTGGGCAATCCCAGAGCCTCACCCCTCCAGCCCACCCCTGTAAGTAGCCCCAGAAAGGAGTCCTTGGCACAAAGCTTGGAAACCAACACACATATTATACAATGTTGACACATCCCCACAGCCTGCCCATGACAAAAATGGAACACTCGCTCATTTGGGACAATGTCACAAAAGTCATTAATATTGTGATATTGTGCTTCCATGATGATAATGAGAATACTAGCAGCAGAAATTCTAACAGCAAACATTTGAACATGCACTGACTGGCAAGCACTCCGCTAGGCACTTTACATGCATCATCTCATTTGGTTCCCACAGCAACACTAAAAGACTGAATAGTACTATATCTTCATCTTACAAATGAGAGAACTAAGGCCAAGAGAAGGTTAATAACTTGCCTGCAGTCACATAAATTCTCAGGTCCATCCAACTCCAGAGCCCCCTCCTCTTCTCCACTGTGCTATAAAGATCCACTTTATCTGGTCTCTCTCCCTCTTACTCAGTCACATTTCCAAGACCCCTGCTCCCTTATTTTCAGTGTAGACAACCCAGAGATGGAGTGTAGTAAAAGAAATACTTGCCTCCTGCTGGCATCTTGGTTACTCTACTAATTGGTGCAATGGGAAAGATGAGTCAAAAGAGCAGTCATGGATATCCACTTCCCATCTTCAAAAAAATACCCAAATGTGCCACAGTTTCCCACCAGGCAAAACACAAAGATCTTACCTTGCCAGATAAGGAGAAGAGGGAGAGCAAGTCCTTTGCACCTCCAGCTCTTTTAGTCTGGCCAATTTACTTATGTCCCATGCCCAGCCAGTTCATTAAAGTAAGACCCAATACCAGCAGCTGTTCTCTGCAATCTCCCTTAGCTATCCCCTGCCACGCCCCCCTCCTGCCCGACAGCCAGCCAGCCAGCCAGCCTGCC